TTTTTATGGTGTTCTGTGAATCTTGTTTCCAATTTTCTTCCTGTTTCTCCAATGTAGAATTCTGGGCAGTTATTGCATGTTATTTTGTAAATAACTTTGGTATTGTGTGTGATTCTAAATAATTTTTGTTTAGTACCAATTTTAATTTAGAGCCGGGTTTTTGTGAGAATTTGACATTGACAGGAATTTTGGGTTTAATGGCTAGTTTTTTTCCAAGTGTGGACAACTCTTGAACTGGTTTCAGGGACAAAAAGGTAAACTGCAGTGTAATGTACTGTTGTTGGGCTTGTTAGTATCACTTTTGTTCGTGAGTTGAGTTTTGTTGTGGTGAATGTTGGAGAGTTTTCGAACAACTACTTGTACCTGATGATGACAAAACCTTGTATATTTGCTGTTATGTTAAACTTATATTAAAGTTTTTCTTCATCACCCATTCAAGCCGTCTCCAAACATTATTTCTTACCTTTGTTACATATTTTGTAAATGCCATACATATATATTAATATAATATAAAGCACAAGTTTAATGGATCTTCAACAGCTAAAAACCTTAAGAGTTGAGTGATGTTACACTACGCTGGAAGGCTGGAGACAAAGAACAAACTATTTATTATCATGTGATTTACTTAAAGTAAATTAATTTAATATATGCAGTTAAGATAAAAACAAAACAAAATAATAAATAAAATATTTTACTGCTAAATTCACCAAATGTTTTTAAATGGTCACATGTCCTTACTTGTATTGGGGTACGATTTCCTAGAGCTGTTGCTATCTTCTTCCAGCGACGTGCTTCCACCTCTTCTGGTGGGAACTGAATCAGAAGATCTTCCAAACGTTTTTGTTCTTCAGGTGTCCACAACTGATTGAATGTAGAGGGTTTTGACTGGTTAAAAGGGCGACCACGTACAAGGACTGACTGAGAATTGCCCTCTGAAGTCTTGACAGTTTCAAGCATTTCCATCTCACTACTATCACCTTGAATTACACCACATTACATAATTTGTTACATTACATAGTTACATAACATCACCTTGAATTACACCACATTACATAGTTACATAACACACCTTGAATTACACCACATTACACTGTTACATAACATCACCTTGAATTACACCACATTACATAGTTACATAACATCACCTTGAATTACACCACATTACATAGTTACATAACATCACCTTGAATTACACCACATTACACTGTTACATAACAGCACTTTGAATTACACCACATTACACTGTTACATAACAGCACCTTGAATTACACCACATTACATAGTTACATAACATCACCTTGAATTACACCACATTACTTAACATCTCGAGTTTGAGAATTATTTTACATACAACAATATTTCTGAATTAAAATTGAAGTTCCTGGTCATATAACTAATTAAGTGTGGATACACATGTTAGCAGCACTCTGTAATCTTAAATGTCAGTGTTATTATTGAATATCACAATATTCAAAAGATCAAATAATCCAAACATAGGTTGCTTTGAATATTTTTTCTACATAAAAACTTTTTCGAATTCAAACAGTACTTGTGTATGAATACATAATAAATCAATACTTCTATACACTGTTATTATACTTTCCTCCCATCACTACCATCATGCATTCCATGACTGTCTCATATATTATCACTCTAGAACATTAATTATGACTAGGAGATTTATTTTTACAGTATCATCTTGCTTAAAGGACATCCACCTTATTTATGAGTTAACACTAACATGTACCAAACCTGGGTATAATGAGAGATTGTAGACACCCAAGAATAGATCCTGTTTTAAATTTCAGTATAAATCCTGAAACATAAAACTACAAATACATAACTCTACCTCTGGATAGACAGTGTGCTGAAACTATCACAGAAAAAGGTGAGAGGTGAGTTAGTATACACACATATATCATGAAAGGGGAAAAAGCATAAGATCCTGTGCAATTACTAAGTGATTAATTTTGGAGAGGTTTAAAAGTGCCATAAGACATCTGGTTGGAGGTTTTACATCCTTTAGTGGAAGAACTGAAGCTATGTGAAAATTATAATTGCCATCATCTCACAATTGAGAGAATGAAAACCAAATCCTCCATCATGTGTAGACTTGCTAAAGATATCTTATGCTAAAACCATGAAGCACACTAGATATTCTGCATCAGTAGATTCCTTGCCAAGGCAATACCAAGTATTAAGGAATTGATAAAACATGGTAATTTACAAATCTGGTCAAGGGAGTCAATATGTTTTATGTGGGGCTAATCCAGAGTAAATTTCAAATCACTTTTTTCTACACCAAGATGCAAAGAAAATCTGGTGGCTAGATTTAGCTGGAAAGCTGAATAGCATTACACTCTTTCAAAGTGACAGTATAAAAACTGTGCATATACATTACACCTAAATTAGATTGTAAGCTAACTTACCTTGAACTAAAAACTTTCAGAAAGACAAAAATCAATTGCATTAGATTGTCTACCCCCCCAAAAAAAAGGACAAGGTGATTCTAAACACATGGAAGTTTAGCACAGTTTCATACATAGCTTGCACGAAATCAGATCTATAACAAAGCAAACAGAAAGTTTACAGATATGTACAGACTGCTCACAGCCAATCATTCTTCCACAACTCCTAAACTGTGGGAAGAAAGATATATATATATATGTACTATCTGGAGTACCCATCCCCTCAATGGAAGATATGAAAAGTTGCTCCCCTTATATGTAATTGTAAAAAAGGCAAAAATGACCATAAAAACAACAAAACACAAAATATGAAACAGTAAATTTTCATGTATCTTCTCACGGACCCAATAAACCTTCATGTCAATTCTGGTAAAGATCCATTGACAGGGGTGAAGTAGAGGTAAAAAAAATGAAAAAACCCCCAGAAAAAACACAAAACTGAAAATTTGTATGTACCCACACGTGGACCAAATGAACTTCCTCACCAAATTTCATGAAGATCCATCCACAGGAGGTGATGTAGTGGTAAAAACTGCAAAACTGAAAATCTGTATATATATCAACGAAAATATGAAAAGTTGCTTCCCTTATATGTAATTGTAAAAAAGGCAAAAATGCCCATAAAAACTGCAAAACACAAAATGTGAAACAGCAAATGTTCATGTATTTTCTCATGTAACTATCCACAACCTGCGAAGTAGTTACATGGCCATACAACAGACAGTACTATTATATTTATATAGATATAGATGTATATAGTAAGACTCATTCATAGAGTAAATTTGAAATGAGATAATCTTAAAGTCAGAAAAATAAATATAAGGAAAACTCACTCCAAGATGAGAGAAGTAAATGTGGTTTAGAGCCTTTAACAAAGAAATATTCCAATTCAAAAAACAGGCACATAGCCACTGATATTAATAACAAAAAGAAAAATAATGCTCATAAGGAAGATTGAGGAAGGAGAGCTAGGTCAAACAACAGTTGGGTCAAACATTAACATTTCAAATGAAAGAGGGAATTAAGGAAGAACAACACGGATGAGTAAGGAAGTGTAATGTCTAAGGAAAAATTTATCATATATGAATAACCTGAAAACCGTCAACTTCCTACAGTAAAGAATTTGAATTTCTACAGAAGAATGGCTCTCTTATATATATATATAAAAGGAACAATAATCCTCAGAAGAAATCCCCTACCGACAAAAACTGTCAGTGGTAATAATATGTACAAGTCAAAGGAGGTTATTCTTTTTTTTTTGTACAGATCCTTGATTAGGCCTCAAATGGAGCATTATGTTCAATCTCATGCTGCTTACCTTCAAAAGGACATTCAGTTGTCAGAAGTGATTCACAAGATGGCTACTAGGATGATTGAACATAAAATATTTAAGGACAACAGGGGGCCTATTTGCCCACCTAGGCTGTCCCATCTACTAAACTAAACTAAAACTATTAAAAAAATCTCAAAGCCAGCTCTTGTCATTCATAAAGTTATTAAGCTTTCTCTTAAACTCTCTTTTATTTACTGCTTCCACAACATCCAAAAATAACCCATTTCAAAGGTCAAGTACTCTGAAAGAAAAATAAAACTTAGCTGAAAATGACTCCTATCCTGCCCAAATTTATATTTGTGCCTCCTAATCCTGCCATTCTCACCATTAAGTAAGAAAAAAGATGATGCATCAACACTATCAATTCCCTTAATCTTAAACACCTCAGTCAGATCCCTTCTAACTCTTCCCGTTTCAAGAGAATACAATTTCAGAGTTCTTAACCTCTCCTTGTATTACAAACCCTCCATCTCAGGCACAATTCTAGTAACCCTCCTTTAAACCATTTCCAATAATTCAATGTCCTTTCTAAGGTAAGAAGCCCAAGACTGAACACAATACTTCAAGTGTAGCCTAACCAGTGCCATTATACAATGATATTATAACCTCTTTAGACTTGTATTCAATATTCCTATTTGCCCTACCACTAACAAAGCACACTGCTTGGATGGATTAAGAGACTCATCAACCATTACACAAAGATCCCTTTCTTGCATGACACTGTTAAGGTTATTCCCATCCAAATTATACTTAGAATTCAAATTATGATAACCTATATGCATTATCTTGCATTTATTATAATTAAAACTCATCTGCCATTTATTTGCCCAACTCACTAAATGATCTAAATTATTTTGTGAAGCAGCAGCATCCTCTTCACAGCTAGCAACACCCTATAGCTTAATATTATCTGTAAATTTAAGTAATTTATTCATCATTCCTTCAGTTATGTCACTGATGTAAATCAAAAAGAGCAAAGGTCCTAAGACTGAGCCATGAGGTACACCACTTGAGACATTAATCCAGTTTAACTGAACTCCATTTATAACAACCCTCTGCTTTCTTCCATCCAGCCATACTTCTATCTAATTTGCTAACTTATTCAACACACCTACAGAGAAGATTTTTTACAAACCTTTTATGTGGCACCTTGTTAAATGTTTTCTGAAAATACAGGTACACCAAATCTACACCTTACCCTCATCTACATAAGTAATAACGTTTTCAAAGAATGTCAAAAGGTTTGTAGGGCAAGATTTTCCCTTAGTGAAACCATGTTGACTATTCAATACAATTCTAAACTTTGTTAAATGACTTTGCAATGCATCTTTTATTAGGCTTTCCAAAACCTTTCCCACAACTGATGTAAGACTAATAGGCCTATTATTACTAGGACAATTTCTATCACCTCCCTTGAAAAGAGGAGTAATATTAGCCAACTTCCAATCCTCTGGCACCTGCCCACCATTCAAGGACTTGCAAAAAATAGTAGCAAGTGGCTCACATATCCAGTCTTTAAAACCCTTGGGGAAATATTATCTGACCCAGGAATCTTATCATATTTTAAACTTCCCAATTTTTTCTTAAGCTCAGAATTAATGTAATCATCTTGTTCGATATTATTTCCATCTAAAAAACTGAAGAAAAAGCAGAATTTAATAACCCAGGCATCCCATAATCATCTGATATGAGTCTTCTTTTATCATTCCTCAAAGGTTCTACCTCCATCCTAACATTTTGTTTACCCTTAATGCATTTAAAGAAATCTTTACTTTAATTTTTACACTTTCAGCTAACTTGTTTTCATATATCCTTTTTGATGTTCTAATTTCTTGTTTCACCAGCTCTCTTGATCTTCTATAATTTTCTAAATATCCTGTTATACTAGACAATTTAAGTTTCTTAAATTTGTGAAGCTTTTCTTAAATGTTATCCCTTATACCCTTTGTGAGCCAACCTGGTTTTTTGCTTGATGTCACCCTTTTCTTTCTATGAGGAATATGTTCATCTTGAATATTTAAAAATGTACTCTTAAAAATTTTCCATATTTGGTCAGACTCCAAATAAGTCAACTCTTCAATTCACAACAGACAATTTTTGTCACATCTTTTAAAAATTTGCTTTTTTGAAATTTGTAACCAAAATGTTATTATTCCTTATCTCCAAATGCAGCAAAACATTGAACCTAACAGAGCAATGATCACTTGCACTAAGATATTCTCCAATTTCCACCCTCTCAACTATTTCTACATTAGAAGTTAACAATAAATCTAAAATAGCATTATTTTTAGTTGGTTCTTTGACCAAATGGTGAAGAAGACCAACTTGAACAGTTTCCAAAAACCTGTCTCCTCATGGTTAGATTCTTAACATTTCTCAATCTATATGCCTGAAATTAAAATCATCCATAATTATGACCTCATTAACAGCTAAAATCTTAATCTTTGTGTAAAGTTTCTCAATTTCATCAGTATCATCTGGTAGTCTATAACAAATTCCCACTAAAAGCCTTTTCCCTTTATATCCATTAACAGAAACCCAAATGGACTCAATCTCCTTGCTATTATCTTTGATATCCTCAACTTCAACAGGATGTAACTCACATTTTACATATAAGGCCACTTCTCCCCCTCTCTTTGATATTCTATCCCTATTAGCTAACCTATAACCTTTTATTTCAAAGAAATTTCTGTCATCAAAATTGTTTACATTTAACCACATTTCCATTATATCAAAATCCTCCATTCCTACCAGTGCTCTAAAGTCATTTATTTTATTTCTTATACTTCTAGCATTACAACAGTAACAATTAAACCTAACCTTAGATCTACTTTTATACTTTGTTCCTATGCTAAACTTATCTCCTCTCTTATTCTTTTTTGTATTTAGTTTTTCCCGGCCTTCACCACTGTCTAGTCCTAGTTTAAAACTTCCCTTACAGCTGAGTTAATAGCTGTAGCAAACAAGCCAGGCCCTACCCTATTTAAATGCAAACCATCCATTCCAAAAACACCCTTCTCCCATTGAACTGATCCCACAAGTCCAACCAGCCAATCTGCTCATTCTTACATATTAACTTATTTGTGGGATGAAGGGACTATCACGTAAGGACAGGTTAGGGTGCTTAAAGTTAGTTTCTCTTGAGAAAAGAAGTTAGAGGGAAGCTGACTGTCTTCAGACATGGTAGATGAAACAGGACTGAGTCAGTTCAAGAAAAGGTTTGACAAATACTTAAGAAAATCTGGAATGGATATAGGTAGATGGGTGTTTGATGAAATTAATGAGACAGCAACAATAGGATAATGGGGCCCCTGTTCTCTCTCAAATATTATGTTATTGAGACAAAGCTACTGCATCATTTGGTAAACTTGATCTCCTAGGTTATTATTGGTAAATATGTTTCAATGAAATGTTCATTTTACTCAGCATATTTAAGCTTTGTGTTTCTTGTACAAAACCCAGCAGGATAAACAAGAGGGTTACGTATAACAGCATAGTTTAATGTCACAAGACATTACTGACAAGTTTTGGAATATTTTAACCTATTAATCTCCATTAGGCAGTACTTGCAGTCAAATATAAACATTTTGAATGCACAAACACATTTTTGGGATCCTTTGAAATGTTTTCCTTTAGTCATTGTAAGGTATTTACAATGAGTGGCCATTTTGAATTCTGGTTGACTTATGTCTGATGATTGGTTACTTTCTCTAGACCTGTAAAGAATAATTAAAGATTCTAGAGAAATACTAATATATCATCACTGTGAAAAGTAAGTGAGTTGTACAATCATGAAGGCATGTTATAAAAGCTACACATATTGTTAGAAGCATAATAAAATCAGAAGAAAATGGAATCTCACAAAAAATGTATAAAACCAGAACTTACTAACTGGTCAAAGTACAATAAAACAGCAACCAGACTCACCCAACTAATTCAAAACAGAGTTTATTGTAATTAATTCCCAAGAACAAGTTACACGATGCACTGGAATTGTTAGAATCTTAATATAAAAATATATTTCTTTTGGAAAACTGGTAAAAATTAAAGAAATATTCTAAGTTAAACAAACTGAATTTCAAAAACTGAATATCAAAAGACATAAACACAACATCAGGAATCTACAATGAGAGAAATCACAGATTCATAAGCTTGCTTCAGGCACAATATTGAAAAAGAAACACAAAAGAACACTTCATATAAAGAACATGATATGTGACAAAATCACTGTTGCAGTTAGAATGACATTACATAACTGTATATAGAAAGTTGGGTAGACGTTTTCTAAACATACATCAGGATATTTCTATTATTGAGAAAAATCTCTTACGTCTACAGTAATATGGTTTGTTATAAAATGATGTAAATGAAGTGAGAAAAGAAAACTTAAAGCAATAAGAGTATACTTATGTATTTAACACTTTTTTCTCTGTAGTTGTTGCATTGATTTCAAGAATTCAAAATATCTTACCTGACTATTATACATTTAATATACTTTGAAAAAAAATACTATATTCCATTTCCTGAAGTTCAATGTATCAAGAACTTATTTTGATAATTTTTGTGATACTATAAATGAAAAACGATGATTAAATTAGTTCCATATTTTAGCACTATTTATGCTACACTTTTCAAAACAGCTTTTTAAAGAATTTGGGAATGTTGTTGTAATATATATATAATTTATATATTTATTTGTAACAAGAGATTTAAGTCATGGAACTGACCTAATACTCTTTAAAATTACACACAAATTTTGACTATCAGTAAAACTCCATAATCAAAATAATTACATTTTAGAAGCACTTGCCTTTAGTATCTAAATCTCAATAACACATTGATCTTCATAATATCTCACAAAGTAATTTTTTTCATATTCTTAATCTTATATTAATGAAATAGAGAGAAAGAAGAAAAATGAATGCAATGCTAGTTTGTGCGAAAAGTAGTTTAGGTGTGAAGAATTTGAAACACCCTGAACAATGTCCAAATTTACTTCAATACAAAAATATTTTCAATGTACTTTTGAGGAAATTTTGTTCTCTAAAGGTATACTTTAAAATTACAATAATTTTAAATGAGATTTTCTTCATAACAATCCTATATATATATTTATATATATGTATATATAAAAGTATCTAGAAAGTTACCTACCCATACTGTTAGATACTGTTTCACCTAATCCCTTAAGCATTTGCCTTGTTAATTGTTTTTTACCAAATGAAAGGTGTTCATCACTCAGAGCATATTGATCCCAGTCAATCTGTGGAAGTTGAACAACCCGCTGCCTTTCTGGTATTTGTAAATACTCTTTTCTCTGTAATTTTTCTACTAGTTGGATAGGATCCTTAAGAGCCTGCTCCCGAAGAGCCATTAGCTTTTCTATGTCTTGAATAGCTTGAACCTTTTGAGCTTCTAGCATTGCTATAGTCTTAAGAAAATAGAGAGAGAAAAATGAATTGAAAACAAGTGTAAGTTGTGTTTATGAAACAACTATTCCCTCCACTAATATTATGATATATTTAAGGCTTCCTGTTCAATGGGGGTAGGACCATTGAATGATGATAAAGGAAAACTTGTATTCTGCTTTTTTTTTCAGTTTTTACTAATGATGATTTAAGCAATATTCCTCATCTTAAACAGTTGATAAATGGAAATAAGATCAAACAAGATGATCACATTAAGCTTGCTAAAAAAAAAAAAAATTGGGAAGCTTAAAGAACAATAAGGCTCCTGAGCAAGATAAAATTTCCCAAAGGGTTTTGAAGAAGGTTAAGAAATGGATATGTGGGCCACTTTCTATTTTTTTTTAAGTCCTTGAATAGTGGGCAGGTGCCAGAGGATTGGAAGCTGGATAATGTTACTCTTCTTTTCAAGGGAGGTGATAAAAATTGTTCCACTAATTATAGACCTATTAGTCTTACATCAGTTGTGGGAAAGGTTTTGGAAATTCTAAAAAAAGATGCATTGCAAAGTCATTTAATAAAGTTTAGAATTTTATTGGAGAGTCAACATGTTTTCACTAAGGGAAAATCTTGCCTTACAAATCTCTCGACATAATTTGAAAAAGTTACTATTTATGTAGATGAGGGTAAGGTGTAGATTTGGTGTATCTGGACTTTCAGAAGTTATAATTTTCCGTACTGAAAATGTATTTCCGATAGGTACTTACCTCCTCACAAGATTAGCTTTTCTCATTCAGTGCTGCCCTCTATACATGAACTTTTTTTATGCATGCCACAAGCCTTGCACCCCCCCCCCTGTTGGAATTACTATATTCCAACATGTCTGTCATGCAAATCATCATGCATCATCTCTTAACCAATAGTAGCATGACATGCTCATGTGACTCTCTCTATACTCCTCTACTAAACCTTCACTTCGAAGCTTAACAGAAGGTGCGAGCACCATAGAAGTGGGAAGGAAGGGTGGAAAATGTAAGAGGAGGGAAGTACCCATCAGAAATACACTTTCAGTACAGGAAAGTTATAACTTCCCTCCTCTCACAAGATTAGCTAGAATCCCACATTAATTAGGAGGAATACCTGGTGCGTAGGAATGAAATAAGTATTCCTGAAAACATCCGAAGGATACCCCAGACCAATAGAGATATAGATCTTAAGATCAGAAAAGGGGATCCGCACCAGTTCTGAGCAAGGTATACTCTTTGCCCATGTGTAAATTGTGTAATGTACAAGGGCAGAAATTGTGAGATGGTGAGCAGCTAGAACTTGGTGGACTGTAGTTGGTAAGTCAACTACATCCAAAACCTCCTCATAGGGTACCAACATCTATGTGAGGGTAGGATGAGGATCATACTGGCTTCACTTCAAACCTAATAATTGGGGATTAAGACCTGCACCAATTTCTAGGTATGCCATGAGGTTCATTACCGATCTATCAATCTGGGAGTAGACATTCAGTATCGAAAGGATGTCTATCACATGTAATCAACTCCCCAAACAGTGGTACAGACCCGCAACATCCAAAGGCAATAACATCCCCATAAGAAGAGAATGAGGGATAGACAAGGATCTCAATGTACAATTCCACATACTACCGCTGTGACCAAAGACACAGATGGAGCAATTGGGGGAGGAAGATAGACAATCTGTACTCGTGTGAGGACATAGGTTGATTGGTTAACTCCAATCCAAAACTTTTATGCCATGAACCGACATCCACGCAAAGGTAGGATGAGGTCTCCTAATCGAAGAGGTGAATTGCAATTGTGACAGCTCAACTCCAGTGCATATGTAAAGTATATCAGGAGGCCAGTGATCCAGTCAGGTGATGGCTCAACTCCAATGTTTGTGTAAAAGAATGCGAAGGCCATATTATCTGTGAAGGTGATGGCTCAACTCCAGTGGTTGTGTAAACATGATCAGGAGGCCATGTCAACCAGCAAGGAGATGGCTCAACTCATCTGAAAGCCACGTTGCATCTACACAAGCAGAACACCACCACCATACTCTCAGCTGAATGGTTTGAATGTTTTTATGTGTGGAACTCATTCAGGAGGGTGCCTCCTTGGTCAACCACACCAGTGGCTTGCAACTGGAAGTGGTAAGGACTCCCATACTCCACTTGAACAAAGGAGGGTGAATGCAGTGGACAGCCCAGAGGAACATTATCACTGGAGACAGTGCAATGGGTGAATATGAAATCCTATTTTGAAAATTAGACTTTACCCCATTATTCACTCGAGGCATGGGCAACAATCCCCTTCTGCTTTATCTATGTAATCCATGGGTGGTACGGTCCGGAACGGGCATGTTTATAAAGCAACTTATCGCAAGGTAATTAACCATCAAGCAATTTTGCGGAACACCCCATCTCGACAGTGAGCATGCAAAGCAATGGACAAGAGAGCTCGAGTCAACATGGCTGACAGTGTGGATTTAGAGTTAAAGAATACAGAGTGGGATCCATAAAATGAGAAATGAAGCAATGGCCCCTGAAAGGAAAAGTATTAATATAAACTAATCGAGTCAAAGTTGCACTGAATCATGAAAAATTGGTATAGACAGAAGATGAGAACTCAATGAAGAAGAAACCACAATATAGAGGAAATAAAAGGAGATGAACATATGAAGTGTAGTCCACATGCCCTACAGATGAATTTCCTGAAACGGATAATGCAGATGAAATGCCAGAGAAAAGATGAGGCAGGAAACTTGATGAGAAGAAACCAGAAACAAAGTCCAGGAGGACAATGTAAGAGAGGAATAAGCTAATTGAAACAAAATCCAAACCCATGAGGTTAAGATGGGAGGAGAATGATCTGAACAGACGATGTTATCATGAAATAAAGAAGTGGGAATGGGTACCACAGAAGAATCCATGCGGGTAATACAACACCGAAGAGCACGTACAGGACATAGAAGGCTATCCAGATAATGGCGAGGATGAGGTGAGAACTGAAGGATTATGAAAGCAGCAAAAAGGAGGATGCACCCTCCCATGCTGCAGATGTGTGAGGGAGGAAAGAACGATCTGGAAAAGAAGAAGATATGTATGAAGATAAAAAGTATGTGAAACCTCAATGGCAAACAAATCCAACCACTGACATCCCCCAGCCAAATAAGTCTGAAAGGAAAGGTGAAACAAGGAGCACGTGGAAAGTGGTTCAAATGGAGGCAAAAAAAAGGCAATGGAGGAACATCCCAGTTTGGAATTGCAACTCGCCATGGGGGACAACTAATCTGGAAGGAACAGAACAAGAGGAAAGAGTGTAGGAGAGAAAAACATGATAGTATTGGGAAAAATGGTAGGTGTTGGAGAAAGATGCACAATAACTAGGAATGGAGGCAACAGGGAACCTTATAAAAAAGCCTAGTAAATATTCCATAATACGAGTAACAGTGGGTCAAACAGCCACAAGTCCCCAACCACAGACCAATAGCAGAAAATGTTCTACTGATACAAATAAACTTCCATGGAGGAAGGTGTGATGGAACGGTTCAGAAGGAAAGTGACAATGCAAAATAATCTCAATATCCATGCCAAGAACCAGATAAAAACCAAGCGTGAAGAGGAAGGACAGGAAGAAGGGGGTAAAGCACCAATGACCGAGTTTGTCAAAGCAGGGAGGGAGACAGAGGAAGGGGTAGTTGAGGGGTAAGGTGGAAACCACAACTGAGCCGACCAGTAAAGAGCAATCAGAAGGACTTGACACAATGAAGTATAGAAAATCTAACTCACCCAAAGGAGGAGTTGAATGGGAGGATAACCCATAGGATATTATCAGTCCAATCCTGACTGAAAGCATCAACAGTCATGGTAAACAGATGAGGGACTGGATACCAAAACAGAGGGAGTTTGTAGTTTAGTGATGTGGCAAATGCATTGATGTAAGGAAAACCCCACTGAAGGCAAAGCCACTGAAGAACCACAGGATCAGGAGACCACTCCGTTGACTAGTCTGTTTGGACGGGAAGAACAAGTTGTGACAAGCTGGAAAACACTCAACACCAGATACGTCATGATATGGATATCCTGCATGAGGGTCCAAAACGGAAGATCCAGTGTGTGAAAACATAGGGATCAAGATCAGGTGCCACTCTGGCAAATGAGGTAAGCAACTACAGTGAAATTATCGGGATGAATCATGACCAGACGATGTCTGGCCCAATGGAGGAAATGATCCAAGGCCCAATGAGAAGCACCAGTGAGGAGTTGAGAATACTTCTCTGTAACAAACCAACACTCAGAAGCTTCCTGGTGGTGGTAAAAGAAGGAAATCCAGACGAGAAAGAGGAAGCAGGACAGTCGCCAATGTGTGGGGCTTGTCCAACCACCAATGCTGATTGTCGACTATGGTAGGAGGAAGAGTAATAAGAGCCTGCAAAAGAACCCATGTAAGAGACCATTAGTCATGAAGAGAGCAAGACAAGACTCCAAGGGAAAACGAGGAGGATGGAGAAAAGAAATGAGGTGGGACAATTATGACAGACTGCCAGCCCTGGTTGTCACAGGGACAACCAATAGCCTGGAATAAAACCTGGAGAAAAAAAATTCATAGTTTCAAAGTCCAGTTGAAACAGAAGGCCATGAAAAGCCTCTGTCCAACACTGGCTGGTAAAGGGATCCCGAAGTAGAGGGAAGGAATGGGAATCTGTGACAAATGAGGAGGGGAAAGGGATTGGAGAACAAGTCCAACTGATAGAATATGAATAACCAACTGATCTAAGATTAAATATAATGCCAAAGGGGAACAAAGTTCTACAATCGAGCTCCCACTGAACCGGAACCCCATGGGTAGTCCCTGATACTAAAGGCGGTATGCTGAATTATGTTGAAGAAAATGATGAGATACAGAACCCCTGGAGATGGAAACAGGAATAGGGCTTGTTGTAAACCTAACAGCAACCAAAGAAGAAAAGCGTAGTGTTGACACAGGGATTCCACTTGGAAGTCCAAAGTGCCCGGAATATGGTTGAAAATACCATCAAAGAAAAGAAGGGTGAAACGGAACACCCCAAGATAAGTGGGTGGCCAATGAACTTGTGACCTGTCACAACCCAGAGTATCCCAACAACAAAGAAATCATGTGTAGAAGGCGAGACCTGAGGATAACACACAAGCCCACATGGAGAAAAGAAGTGAGATGCTGTTCCTGGAAAAAAACCATAGGATGACTAGGTAGAAGCCTCAGAAAGGAGAAATATGGTAGAGAAATACAACAGAAGGGAAATAAGGGTAAAACAAAGTATAAAAACTGCACATAGGAGAATGCACCATAAAATCAGGGAGAGTTTTTATAGGCCATCTGATTGGCAGATGACGTCAATGAGATCAGTGTTACTACTGGTAACACAAAAGATTAGCTGAGAAAATCCCAGCAGCAACAGATGGGGAAAGACTAGTTAACTGGATTGTAGGATGAGCAATAACAAAAGGTTGTTATTAATGGAGTCTAGTCAAATTAGAAACTTGTTACTAGTGGAATACCTCTGGGATCAATCCTTGGGCTTTTGCTCTTTCTTATTTAAATCAATTATATTGATAATGAAATAATTAGTAAAATTTGCTGATAACAATACACTCGTGGGAATTTCTAGTTGTATTGCTCATTTTGTAGCACTAAAAAATGACTGGGATCATTTGGTAAGTTGCACAAATATTTGGCAAATGACTCTGTAACTGCAAATTAATGCATCTTGGTTATCATAATTTAGACTAAACATATAGATGAAAACATACTGAACAGAACAAATGAAAAAAAAAAGATCTTGGCAAAGTGGTGGATAAGTTAGTAGAATTTCAGGGTGTATTTATAGATATGTTGATTACAAGTTAAATGAGTATATCATCTCTCTCTGTACAAGTTACTAGTTAGGCCCCACTTGGAATACTATGTACAGTTTAATCTCTTTTATTTAAGAAAATACACTGACTTGTTGGAGAAGGTTCAGAAGAGGACTACTAGGATGATTTTGGGATGGAAGGGTTATCTTATAGAAATATGCTAAGATATGTTAACTTGCATTTTCTTGAGAAAAGAAGGATAAGAATTGACCTTATTAAAGTTTACAAGATTACTGAAGGGATCAATAGGATTAGGGCTTCTGACTTCTTGGTGCTATATTCTGAAGATAAAAGGAAAGAAGTTTAAGATTTGAAAAAGATCTGACTCCATTTAAGATTTTTATAACTGTTTGTTTGTTTTTTAATTTCGTGCAAAGCTACACGAGGGCTATCTGTGCTAGCCATCCCTAATTTAGCAGTGTAAGGCTAGAGGGGAGGCAGCTAGTCTTCACCACCCACCGCCAACTCTTGGGCTGCTTTTTTACCAACAAATAGTGGGATTGACCATCACATTATAATGCCCCCACAGCTAAAAGGGTGAGCATGTTTGGTGGGATGGGGATTCGAACCTGCAACCCTCAGATTGCGAGTCCTAACCACCTGGCCATGCTGGGCCTTTTATAACTGAGTGGCGGGCGTATGGAATGAACTGTCATTAGAAATAGTGGAGGCAAGCACTTTGTATGGACTTAAAAGTTGAATTAATGACTTCCTTAAAAATAAGGAGTGGGTTTAAATGATTACTTCTCTCAAGGATAGGTGTACAAGAACAGCCTCGATGGAACAAATGGTCTTATTGTGTAGGGCCCTTATCAAAAATTAACCACAGGTGTACTCTCATACAAAAATTGAAAGGTTTCATAGACAGCTTGAAGGAAGCTAGTGAGATAAAGAAAAAAATCCTGAAAACCATGCCAAATAATATTTTAAATTTCAATTTTTGAAATGAGTTTTAGTTAAATTCAACAAATGATTAAAAAAATTACTAAACTGAAGTCGATCTACATTTTCCCATATATCTATTATCATTGTTTCAGTCACCAACAACTTCACACTGACTAGTGAATTTTAAATAAAAATGTCAAAGAAAAACTTGTAGTTTACAAAATAATCTATAACTAAGCATAGCATCAAAGTGCAAAATTGAAAAAGAATAAATGGGGAAACAAATATTCTCTAATTAAAGATGTAACAATTATTAAATATTTAATACAATTTTATTATATGCATAATCCAAGGATATCATAACAGGGCTTTCCATAATTCCTGCAGATAAAATATTAAAAATAAATATTAATCCCTATGTATTTGACGATTCACCACTTGTAACAGTTATATCAGTTTCAGGGAATAAAAGAGAACTGGAAATAACATACATATATAATTATACACTCCACCACTGTATGAAGCCTAGTCTTGGTCTTTTGATTTACTCATATCCAAGGTTACTGACAAGGGGTATAATTCTCCAAAATCAATATAACCTAGTGACAAGTAGTGAATCAAATAACAGACAAAGTCTCATATTTATTTTTTGCATTTCAAAGCTACATATTCTTCAAATCCTACATAAATATAGGTCCAGTGAGTAAGGGACAATTCAAAACCTGTTATGTTCTTGCCAAGTTAGCAAAATTGTTAAACAGTAAATTTTATGCATTTCATTAAAACACATGGTCAAGGTACATGTATAGTTTTCAACTGTTAAAGTTCAGGCTTTGCAATTTGTCGAACTAAATAATATTCAAGGTAATAGTTCCCCATTCCAGTCACTAGAGTAAATTTAAAATAACCCCCACCTAATCAATGTGTTAAGTTTCAAGCCTAAAACATAAACATCATAACAAAAGTTAATGATTTGTAAACTTTTTCCAAGTCATATGTGACATTATGAATCTTTATTGACTTTGCTATTATTATTGCTATAATGGTAAAAATTTTCATGTACTTTATTTTCAAAGTTATGGCCTAATTTATTTTTTTACATTAAATTATGATTAACTGATAATAATTCATTACTTAGCTTACTGTTCCTTATTCTAAAAGTATAATAATTTGTAATGAATTACAAAACTTTATTATTCTGATATGAATTATGATTACACTTTTTACATAAATTAATACTGGCATTGTAATTGAAATAATTCCTCCAAGTCCAACTTAATTATCTGCGCAAAATACAACCTTCTTATGTAATGATTTTAATCTATTATCATACAACTTACTTTAAGCATGTTATGATAGTCTGAATTACCCTTCAAAGCTAGATGATCTGACTCAAAGAAAAATTCGCCAATATCATCATAGCTTTCATTTTCTTTACATTGAGTTTGATTAGCCTGTGTCTCCTCCAGACTTTTCTTCTTCGCTTTAGCCATAGAATCCGTTAGTGCATTACACTGAAATACCAGTCTATCAGTATCACTTTCATCTGATTTTTCATTGTTGTTACATACTCCAGAAGTCACATCTGACATTGTTATTATTATTAAATGTTGCTCTTATCAACGAACACGTGTTAGGCTATGTAATAAAATACTTAATCATCTTCGTTTTATCATTTCTTTCTCTCCCTCTCTCTACAATTTTGAATAAGCTTTAAACGACACCTATTGGTGAAAATAATAATTATTAAATTATTATAATTAGCTTGGAAATGCCATGATATTTTTAATATGATTCTTAGATAATCCGAAAGAATCGTTTGTTTGTTTGTTTCAGAGCAAAATCACTTTAGACTATATGCTGTGTCCACCGCGGGGAATCGAACCCCTGGTTTCAGTGTTGTAAGTCTGTAAATTGTCCCACTGGTGAATAGTCTGAAACTGAAAGAAAAGATTCCCAGTGTATTCGTCATTTGTTTATGAAAAATTGTGATCGTAACAATTCAAGATTTTTGTTAAAGTATAGAATTTGCTTATAGATGGTGAAGTTCAAAGTGTTGTAGAGAGGATAGTTAATTTAATAGCAGGAAGTGAAGCTTATGATGAAACTGTTTATGCAGGTTGAGAAATAGTATTTAGCATTATATGATTTTATTGGGATCTGTGTAGTGTGCACATATTATTGCTGTATATCCTTTCATGACTTAGAAACTCAATATATTTGTTACTTAGGTATATTCTGGCCATAAGAAAGTTTGCACATATTATTGCATGTTGCCTATGTGTGTTTAGCTAGATGTTCTAGATGAATAAGATTGCACAGCTGCTGTGAACTAAGCTTAATCCTGCCCTCAGGCGGTCACTCATGTCAGAACGAGTGAAGATGTGTCTGCCTAAGTATATAGTAAGTACATGAAATAAGTCGGTATTATTTTTCCATGACGCCTGAAGTATTGGATATATGTAGATATAAAGATATTTTTTTTATAATTAGGTACGTTTCCTGAAATGGTTTTCTGAGCAGTCCTAGCAGGAATATAAAAAAAAGCCATTTGTTTATTGCCAGTAAAATTGTTTTTATTAGCTTCATGCATGATCTAAACGTATATTTATTTTACTGATACATATTGCTGTTTTCATTTTGATATTTGACAATGTGTTACCTAATTCGGCATATCTGTTATAATTTTACTTGGTTTTCAGAAGGCAGCACAGCTTTCAAGCATTTAGTAGTACCCTGGGGCACTTCGACCTTTGCTTATTTCATGCAGTGATTTCTAGATATGATATTTTTTAAACAGTAAGCTATTATTGCTTGAGCTGCTACACTATATTTTAATAGCAAACTCTAGCATCGGCTCCAGCAGTGCTCTGCTTTAAGTATATCCCATCCTGGCAAATATTCAGCTTGAATACATTTTTACGCAAAGTTACTATTTGGTAAGATATCCCACTGCCTTTGTGAAGATCTGGGTTTTCCTGATAGTCTTTTGCAGTCCCATCTTGTATTAATTACTGTTAAATGTACACTGGGATAAGATTACCGTTGTGAAGAAGTGATTTAGACAACAGGTTGCTTTTATGTTTTTACACCGAAAATAAAACGTTTCCATTATTTAGAATTGAAATAACTGTGTTAATGTCTCTTTATTTGGTCTGCTTACATTTACCAAAAATCTCCTGTTATTGTGGTGCTTCATTTAC